CTGTAATGTGTATTTTATGTTGACAACCACTACAAAATAAAATTCAGTTTCCCAGGAGACTGTAAAGCTAGAACTGACCATGAATGAAAGACAATGCTGAGTAGCAGTGTTTCAGTGATATTGAGGCTTGGAAATTAGATAAGTGTACAGGATTCCCGGTAAACTTCCAAAGACCTCCATAAGGAACAGTGAAATTATCAAAATTGCCCCTATATTTTGAACATTCTTTCTTTACATAAATGTGTTGGGGAGTCATCACTGAGGAACAAATAGTTTAAAATGAAGTTAAGAGATTTATTGGTTAAGGTGCCATTATTATTAACTAGATTAGAGGCTGATGCACAAATTTCATGCACAGGTGCAGTCCCTAGGCCTGGCCGGTGATCGAAGCATGAGCATCTGGCATGGAAGGCCAGGTCCCAGATGACCTCTGGACCCTGGGCAGCACCTGGGGCCCCAGGCCCCTGCGCGCCCCCTCTGCCTGAGTCATGGCACCCAAGTCCCCATGAGGGGGTGCAGTGAGCGCAGCTGGATGCCGCAGGCCAGGGCACAGTGTGGGCCTCTGGGCTGCCCAGCAGCGCCACATGAAAGCTGGGCGGGCAGCATGCTCTCTCCCAGCTGGCCTTGTAGACCGGCTCCCAAGGGCTGCGGCCTGGCTTACCCAGAAGAGGCCACGCAGGTGTGGGGAGCATTCCTCGTGGGTGCCTGGCACCTGAGTACTGGGGCTTCCCTGGTGCATGAGCCTTGGTGTCCTGGAGGAGGGTAGCAGGGGGAGTGAGGGCAAGCTCAGCGGACAATGTGCATTCTCACCACACCTCCATCCCCAACACCCCCACCCCTAGGTAGCTGGTGAGAGGTAACAGCCCCATCCCTCCCTGCCTGGGCACCGTGGGAGGTTGGTTGCCACCACCCACCCTCAGTTCCCAGTCTCAGCCCTGGGCCCAGCCCCGATTGAGTGATTAGGGCTTGCTGGCCACTGGTTGCAGTCTTCAGGGGGACCGATCTGGGCCGGCCCCTGGCCTGGCCCCATCAGTGCCTGGGAGCTGGGCTGCAGCCCTGCTCCCTGCCACTGCCACTGTTCGCCATCTGCAGGGTGATCAGCAGGGCGATTGTGTCTCGCTCACACTTACCTTGGCTTG